CGACCTAAATATTGGTTACCTCTGTTTTTTGGACAAACATGATTACTGCATTTCCCAAAGTGCTGTGTCTCATACTTTTATATTTTCGCTAAATAAATAAAAAAATAAAACTGACAGAAGAGAGGTGATAAAACTTCACTTCAAGGTGGGTAAAGTGACCCCGTGATGGCTCTGATCTCGGGAAATGGGAAATTTCCTTTATTTAGAGTGAACTTTTATTGTTCCCCAATCCCAGGTGCTTTATGACCCTTCCGGTTATTCCCTTTCCCCTGAAAAAAAAATGTGCAATACACAGGCGGGAGAATAAAAATATAGTGATCAGTGTGAGTAATTATGTGGAGGTTGGGTTTTGGTGGGCAAGTGTGCTAGTACCAGGTGTACTGCAGATGAGGAAATTCAGGAAGTTTATTACGATCCCTTTATGGAAGATTTTCCACTTTTTGAACCGTTATATATATATATATATATTTAAAATTATTTTATAAATTAATATATAATTATATATATATATATATATAATATATATATATATATTATACATGGCCGTTTCCCCCCAAAGGCAGGGTGCCGAAAAAGAAAAATTTCCCATCATTCACCCACACTGTCTTGCCAAAGGGGTCTTTACAATACAGTTTTTAAACGCAAATTAACACCCCCCTTCAGAGGCGGGCACTGTACTTCCCATTCCAGGACTAAAGCCCGGGCCCTGCCGGTTTCCCTAAACCCCCTTTAAAAAAAATGTTCTTTCCAACTCCAACAGCACGTCAAGATTAAAAACCTTTTTGTCTCGATTCATCCTATAAAACACGTCTGCATACCTCTGGAAAGTCCAACCCCCTCGCACACAAAACCCCCTTTACCCCCTCTCTCCAAAACCTTTCCGGGCCGCCCCCTCCCCCGCCCTTTTCCCACTACAACTGATACACTTTGAAGTCTTTCTGTTTCGCTCCATTCTCCACATGCCCGAACCACCTAAAACAACCCTTCATAGCCCTCGGACAAAAGTTTGGAAACCCCGCACCCCCCTAATTTCCAAAACTAGAATTCTCTGCATTTTTTAACCACCATGCCCCAGACATGACATCTCCACGCCTCCAGCCTTTCCCCCTGCAACTTCATCACCCAGCTTCAACCCATAAAGAGCGTTGGTAAACTTACTCTCATACTTCCCCCTTTGCCTCCAAGGGCAAAAATCTTTTTCTCCCCAGACCCCAATGCACCCCTCCTCTTTTTCCCCCCTCAATTCTAGATTACCTCATCTTTCATGACCCATCCGCTGACACGTCCCCTCCCAAAAATCTGAATACTTTACCCCCTCCCTACCCTCCCCCCAACTGGAAATTCAATCTTTTATCACCTAAACTTTTTTTTATTCCCCTAACCCTTTCCCGATTCACCTTTAATTTTTCTTTTGCACCCCTACCAAAAATTATCCACCAATCTCTGCAACTTCTCTTCAGAATCTCCCAAGAGCCCCGTGTCATCAGCAAAGAGGTGTGACAACTCCCACTTTTTGTTGTTCTTTTCTTTTAACTTCACGCCTTTGTCAAGACCCCGCATTTACTTTTCTTACAACCCCATCTATAAAAATATTAAAACCACGGTGACATCACAATCCCTTTTCTAAAGGCCCACTTTTCTGGGAAAAAAATTTCCCCCCTTTCCTACATACTCTAACTTTGGCCCCCTTCCCCGTAAAAAAATCTTTCCCGTTTTCCCGTAACCTACCTCCTACCCCTCACTTGCAAAATCTGCCCATTGCCCCCCTATCCACCCCGTCAAGCCTTTTCAAATCCCTAAATGCCACAAGACCCCCTTTGCCTTTTCTAAATATTTTCACTTTTATGTTTCACTGTAAACCCCGGGACCACCCCCCACCTTCCTAAGCCCCCTTGTTTATCTCTATCCTATTCTCCGTCTTACCTTAAATTTTTTCAAAAATAAATTCCATACCTTTCCCGGTAACTCAGCAGACTTTTCCCCCCATAATTTTTTTCACTCTCTTTTACCCCCTTTGCCCTTTTACAAAGGGAAATATGCATGCCTTCCAATCCCCGGTACCTTACCTTTTCCATACATTTATTAAATAATGCCCAACCACTCCAAAATATATCCCCCCCGCTTTTAAAATTTTTATCTTTATCCATCAATCCGGTGCCTTTCCCCCCTTTATTTACCTACTGCCTCACGAACTTCCCCCACACTCACAACTGGCTCTTCCTCACTCATACATAGATGTTATATCCTCCTTTCCCTATACACGAAATCACAACTCCCCTATCTTCATCAACATTTAACAATTCCTCGAAAAAATACCCTCCATCTTCCCAATACCTCTAACTCTCCATTTAATAACTCTCTCTCCTATTTTTTAACTGACAAATCCATTTGTTCTCTAGGCTTTCTTAACTTGTTAATCTCACTCCAAAACCTTTTCTATATTCAACAAAATTTGTTGATAACATCTCACCCACATCTCTCATTTGCTCTTTTTTTACATTGCTTCACACACTCTTAACCTCCTCTTTTTCTCCATATACTCTTCCCTCCTTGCATCCCTTCTACTTTGTAAAAACTTCTCATATGCTAACTTTTCTCCCTTACTACTCTCTTACATTATCATTCCACCAATCGCTCCTCTTCCTCCCGCACCCACCTATATATTATAATATATATATAATATATATATATATATATATAATATATATATATATATATATAAATATATATATATATATATATATATATATATATATATATAATACACTATATTTTGATCGTGGGCGGGCTCCACGCTGGCTGACTTAATTAGGTGAATATTGCTTGATCTGTTCCTCTTTTATGGATATGGATGTTCGAACTAGGAATGAAGTACGTATTAATCCAACTTAATTTAGCTGCTGTCCCTGGCTTCTGGATTTAAATGTTTTCACACAGATTTAATTTAGTAAATTAACCCATTCAAATGTTTGTGGTAGAGTTTTGCTTGCAGAGAATTCTGTCAAGTTAACCATAGTCTTATATTTATTTAAATGAGATGCTTGTGCAACATTTGGGTATCTTTATTCTGGAGACGTTTCGCCCGCCAGTGGCTTCTTCAGTCTACTGCAAAGAGACATTGGAAGACGAGATGAGGAGTCTGAGGTTATCAGTCCCTTAGTCCCTTAGCCTCCATCAGTCTTGATGGACTGAACACATCGATTCAGTATTGGACTGAAGAAGCCGCTAGCTGGAGAAAAACTTCCAGACTAAATATTCCCAAATGTTACTTAACTCTCTTATTTATCAACATGTCAGTTTTCTAAACCATTTCTTCAAATATATTGATTTACTTTATCATACATTCCTATAGAATATGGTTCAGTAATAAAGCTTTAATTCCTTAACTTCATATTCTTTAATTGAAAATACCCCATTAGAGATACCTGGAGTTTACCTGGAGAGAGTTCCGGGGGTCAACGCCCCCGCGGCCCGGTCTGTGACCAGGCCTCCTGGTGGATCAGAGTCTGATCAACCAGGCTGTTGCTGCTGGCTGCACGCAAACCAACGTAGGAGCCACAGCCCGGCTGATCAGGAACCGACTTTAGGTGCTTGTCCAGTGCCAGCTTGAAGACTGCCAGGGGTCTGTTGGTAATCCCCCTTATGTATGCTGGGAGGCAGTTGAACAGTCTCGGGCCCCTGACACTTATTGTATGGTCTCTTAACGTGCTAGTGACACCCCTGCTTTTCATTGGGGGGATGTTGTATCGTCTGCTAAGTCTTTTGCTTTCGTAGTGAGTGATTTTCGTGTGCAAGTTCGGTACTAGTCCCTCTAGGATTTTCCAGGTGTATATAATCATGTATCTCTCCCGCCTGCGTTCCAGGGAATACAGTTTTAGGAACCTCAAGCGCTCCCAGTAATTGAGGTGTTTTATCTCCGTTATGCGTGCCGTGATGGTTCTCTGTACATTTTCTAGGTCAGCAATTTCACCTGCCTTGAAAGGTGCTGTTAGTGTGCAGCAATATTCCAGCCTAGATAGAACAAGTGACCTGAAGAGTGTCATCATGGGCTTGGCCTCCCTAGTTTTGAAGGTTCTCATTATGCATCCTCTCATTTTTCTAGCAGATGCGATTGATACAATGTTATGGTCCTTGAAGGTGAGATCCTCCGACATGATCACTCCCAGGTCTTTGACGTTGGTGTTTCGCTTTGTTTTGTGGCCAGAATTTGTTTTGTACTCTGATGAAGATTTAATTTCCTCATGTTTACCATATCTGAGTAATTGAAATTTCTCATCGTTGAACTTCATATTGTTTTCTGCAGCCCACTGAAAGATTTGGTTGATGTCCGCCTGGAGCCTTGCAGTGTCTGCAATGGAAGACACTGTCATGCAGATTCGGGTGTCATCTGCAAAGGAAGACACGGTGCTGTGGCTGACATCCTTGTCTATGTCAGATATGAGGATGAGGAACAAGATGGGAGCGAGTACTGTGCCTTGTGGAAGAGAGCTTTTCACCGTAGCTGCCTCGGACTTTACTCTGTTGACTACTACTCTCTGTGTTCTGTTAGTGAGGAAATTATAGATCCATCGACCGACTTTTCCTGTTATTCCTTTAAGTCACTATGTTTTTTTTTTTTTTTTTTGAGGGAGAGGGTTATTCTAGGCATATATCATTTAGGTTTCATAACCATATTTTTTTAAAGGGGGTGGAGAAGTGAGCCAGTGGAAGGCCTCGATCAGATGACCAAAAGCTCCAGCTGCGGGTCATCATACGACCAGGACCAGCGTCGGGAAACACTTGTCATGTTTCCTGACCAACCTACTAAACCTAACCTATTCTAAGTAACTTACACACTTTACACTGTGTAACTGTACCTAAATAAACTTAGTGATTTACTAAATATTGTACTTATTTAGTTATTGTTAGTAGTATGACAACGTTTACAGTGGTAGCGGCAGCACTGTGCTGGAAGTCTGGGAGGTATGTTGAGAACTGAGATGCTAGTTGTTGGACAGCAGCCAGAGTGGGAGGGTATATCAACCTCTGTGGCAAATTATTTGAGAGAGAGTGCGGTTTTTGATAATTTTCTGATTTGTTTTCTAATTTTATGCAAGTAAATTGGAATACCATCCAGCGCTGTGATTAATATTTGGTTATGAAGATAAACTCTGTTAGTGTCACTTGTGTAGCGGCTAAGGACTTGAAAATTAATTTAGCTTATATATTTGCAAATTACGTTTATATACGAAGGTGGGAAGACCGTGGCTTGGATAACTTATTACGCTGTTAACGGCAAGTTATTCTGCATAAGGTAAGGGATTTTTTTTTTATGGTTGAGTTCAAAGAACGAAGGGTAAAAGTTAAACTTTTTTTTTTTTTTTTTACAGCAGAATGAATTAGACTTGCCTAGTGGTCCTACTGCAATGTTTCACTATGATTTTGTTAAAACTCTTAACCAAATAAAAGTACGATGCTTGGTCCCTGGACATATTATATTCATCTAATATTTTCTCTACCGCCTGTTTAAATGGTTGGATTTGAAGACCTCCCACATGTGGGCTAGTAGGCCTGTATGTGTATGTAGGCCTGCCAGTGTTTGTTCTTATGTGCAGACAAGAAAAGAGCATGAAATGAGACATATAGAGATAATAAGGTAGGCGAAATGATGACTATAGCACTGTAGTAGGCCTGTTACACTGCTCCTCCATTCGCATGTTCTAAATTGTCTCGGTATATCTGATGTATTTCCATGGAGATTTTCTAGGGATTCCCACATGACAAGAGCTCATAGGTAAGTCCTTGAATTTGATTTAGAGTTTTTATTCCTTCCTTCTTCCAACACTAAGTAAAAAGTCTGAGGCAGATAATTTTTGTCAAAATTTTGTATATGTAATTGCCAGTTACTGAGTCACCTCAGTTAAATAAAGACTTTGATATTCCATACCAAAAGTAGTTCCAGCCAGATCTTGTCGGCCGATATTCGGGCCAACCCCGCCTTGGACTGGGCGAGGATGCCAATTTAGCTTTTAATTCTTTCCTGTTAAACAATCATTGTTCCAAGATGGACTAATCCATTTTGCCTTTACGTAATTTATTAAGCGTCAATGCTTGCAAGTCATCTTTCCATGTTGTGATCGTGAGAGAGTAGTCAAGAAGAGAATGGATGTGAGAAGGGAATGTGATCATGTGGTAGTGTGTGGTCATGTGACTGCTAGCGTTAGCTTAGCCTGAGGCGGCAGGACCTGTGTTTATGTGTGGAGACTACTAGAGTCCTCTTTGTGGAAGGTCGACGCTCCATCGTTAGTTTGTTATGCTCTATAACAGAGAGAAGAAAGATTGTCTTAGTGGTAGTGCGTTCAGTTCACAACTGAAATATACGGGTCCAGTGAACGGCCGGAGCGAGACATGTAGGAGGAGCATTGTAGGAGGCCTACAGGCCCATACTAGGCAGGTCCAATTCAAACCTACTCATACTTGTTGAACCTCTTCTTTAAGCTATTCAAGGTTCTCTTCAGTGACTCTACCCGGGAGTTTGTTCACTCATCCACAACTCTTACCAAACCAGTGCTTTCCTATATCCTTTCTAAATCTAAACTTTCCTAATTTAAACCCATTGCTGCGAGTGCTATCTTGGCTAGATCTGCTTTTGCACGTTATTTATATACCCTTCATTTATTCCTGTTTTCCATATATAAACCTCAATCATATCTTTCCAAATTCTATGCTTTTACAGAGAGTGCAGATTCTGTGTCCTCAGTGTATCTTCGTATGAAAGATTGCTGATGCAGGGATCAACTTTTTCATCCTTCTCTGTATGTTTTCCAGCTCATTCATGTCCATTCTGTAATATGGAGACCAGAACTACACAGCATAGTTTAAATCAGGCCTTACCAAGGTTATATAAAAATTGAATTATAACCTGAGGACTGAGATTGCTGTTTATACTTCTTGATAAAAAAGCCAAGAATAATATTAGCTTTGTTGCCAACACTTATGCACAGTGGTCTTGACATTAGATTACTGCTAATCAGAACTCGTAAATCATTTTCACATTCAGAATGATCTACGTTTAGTTAGTAAATGTTACGGTTGTTCTCTATTCCTAGGTATTAAATTACATCTGCCACTTCGAGCATGGCAACACCATAAGTGTCCGGGGCCCAAAACTGTTCAACAGCCTCCCATCAAGCATTAGGGGAATTGCCAATAAACCCCTGGCTGCCTTCAAGAGAGAGCTGGACAGATACCTAAAGTCAGTGCCGGATCAGCCGGGCTGTGGCTCGTACGTTGGACTGCGTGCGGCCAGCAGTAACAGCCTAGTTGATCAGGCCCTGATCCATCGGGAGGCCTGGTCATGGACCGGGCCGCGGGGGCGTTGATCCCCGGAATAACCTCCAGGTAACCTATCCAGAACTTCTTGTAGCGCTCTAGTGTTCTCATCAGGATTAATCTGACGACCAGTTTTAGTCGTGACATTATGTCCTTACATTGGTAAAGCCACTGAATGGTGAAACGTCTACAAATAAAGATACCCAGATGTTGCATATGTATCTAATTCTTCATCATTGTGTAATTCTATGCTGGAGGGAGGACGAGCTTAAATTTCGCACGGAAGCAGGTACACTGGGTGAACTGTTAAAATACTATTTAGAGAAATATCTCAAGCGTTGCCGCGCACGCTTATGTTACCTGGTGTACACTAAGCTGTTGGCTATTTTAGGTTACCTGGAGGTTACCTGGTTACCAGGTAACCTCCAGGTAACCTAAAAATTAAGGCCAACGGCTTCATGTGTACCAACCAGATCTTTAGTTGAGAGAAAGCAGTGTAGTGTACAGACACTGGAGGCATACTAAGTCATGATAATGACTACAAGTGCCAGGAACAGATAACATATGGGGATTACAGCACTGGAGAAAAAAAAATGGATGACGGTTACTGGGAGCAGCTGCTCGGAGGGTGACCACGTGAGCTTCATCCTCCCCTTCCTATTTTCCAGCTTCCCCCAGTCCAGACCCTCCATAAACCCACAGCTAGTATTGATCACTTTGTATTAGACCACGTGCATAAGATCTTTATCGACGTCCTACGTACTGTATCGTTGGTATTCTTAAAATTGGGAAAGGAAATGGATTTCAAATATGTGAAAGGTAGATTGATTTAAAGCAGGCCAAAGTGTGTCCTAGCAAGTGATAGGGGCAGTCAAATCGAGGTCGTAGCGACAGATGTGGGCTCAGCTGGTGGTGTTAAATGCTCGTTGTAGCTTTATCTCCTGTATGTATGCTTTTCTCGTTCCTTTTAATGTTATAACTTGGTTCTTATCAGTTTAATAATAATATCTTTATTTACTACAGGTACATGTACAAGGTATACAGTCCTAGCTGACATCAATGACATACTACTATATAGAAAGCCGCTTATTATGCAGAACATTTCGGGCAAATTAGGTCAGTTTTGTCCCAGGATGCGATCCACACCAGTCCACTAACACCCGATTCTTCCACCCACAACTCGGGACGTAATACTACCATCCCATCCCGTCACCATTTACCTATGTTTTCTTTAGTCCCAGTCGCACATTATATGATGATTTACCACAAAATGCCTTGTTGCTGCTTAATGGGTACAATCGCCGAAGGTCTTGGAGCTGACCGTCGTGTTAATTTAGTTGCTTTGCAAGCAGTATGTCATAATTTCTTGTATTGTTTGTTATCCACGGACAAAACAACTCGTTGTCTTACTTGTGTTAAAATAAGAATGGAGGAACATTGCAGCAGGCCTTCTGGACTTTTTTTTTTTTTGTTATAGGTGGTGTATATTTTGGCTTAGAAGGACACGTGAGCAAATACTAGAACATATTAGAGAATGTTTCGGTCCTGGAACCTCTGTATGTTAAGTGATCAAGGTCCCAGGACCGAAACGTTTTCTAATGAATATGACCAAGTGTTTACGTGCCTTTCTAAACCAGGTTGTCGGCATCTAATACCAAGGTTTATATTAGTGTATATATTGTAATTTACATTATAGGTAACCTCCATGTGTTATAATACTTGAAATTCGCACGGTTTCGAGAGTAGAAGTCTACTGGTCTATGTTAAGCAAGGTCATGGAGTAGGCTTAAATGGATATTGTAGTCTCATAACGAAGTACAGAACTACAGACGCTATTGACTCACCATGTGCGCTTATCTGTTCAGGTATTTTGTTTTGCCCTATTCACAAACGTGTACCGATGTTAATGTGGTTCTTGTATCATGTCTCCGGTGTTCCAGGATCTGCGGTGACTGCCTTGGTAACATTTTATATATTGCCTCCGTGAGGCCTACATTACGTTTTTTCGCGTTGGTAATAAAATAGAACCTTTAAAATTGTCACCGCGTTATTGCACGACACTAAACATGAAAGATGCAAACAACCTGGGTTGAAATATGAAAATAAGATTAATGTTGAACGTATTCTTGAAATCTCAACCATTTATAGTAAGCTGCTCGATAGTAAACTGTGAAGTTGATTTATCAACGAGGCGTGTGCTCAGTCTTAATGTAGTATGTATATATTAATTACACCATTTGATAATGTGAACGAATGATTTATAACATTTTAAGTGAAATTCCCTCATAATTGTTACATATTAGCTGTTATCTTGTTGCAAAGTACGGTATATATAGTTTATTGTAATTATGTTGCTACAAGTGTTTTGATACAGTAGCGTTTCGGTGGCATTATGTATTACCATTTATTAATTGCTTGAGTTCTTTACTCAAGCAATAACTAATTAGTATCAGTAATTACTCTGGTAAACGCCTTTCACAATCCCCTTACAACTTGTCGACCACCACACACGCCTTGTGTAAGTCTTCCTCCATATACCACACTACATGACAGTTACCCAAGTTGAGGTTTCTTGAGCACCTTTCACCAAGCTTGGTAAAAGCTTGTTCTACCAACTCCTTGAAGTATGAGTGACTTTCATGATTTTCTCATGGCTTTTAGCCAGAGAACCTAGATATTTTAAGAATGTTAAAAAAGTGTCTGAATTCCTGGAGCTACTTGCCTACCTGGAGGGTATTCCGGGGATCAGCGCCCCCGCGGCCCGGTCCATGACCAAGCCTTCCGGTAGATCAGGGCCTGATCAACGAGGCTGTTACTGCTGGCCGCACGTAGTCCAACGTACAAACCACAGCCCGGCTGATCCAGTACTGACTTTAGGTATCTCTACAGTTCCCTCTTGAAGACAACCAAGGGTCTATTGGTAATTCCCCTTATGGCTGGTGGGAGGTTGTTGAACAGTCTTGGGCCCCAGATACTTATTGT